GATCCATAGGCATATAATCACCGGGAGCTGGTGGATTGTAATGTAGACCAGAGTTACGAGTTTGAGAGAAGAACTCTGCTGTCGTTACATTGGACATCAAGCTGGATGGAGACTCGCCGGGGACTGCGTCTGCTGTCGAGGATGCCTGAGGGTTTGCGCCGCCGCGACCACGACCCCTGACTTTAGACAAGAGAGATGCGACGAAGCCTTTACCGCGACCCCCAAGTGCCGCACGCGATGTTGCAGCGGCCTGCTCTCGTTCATGCTTGTTCTTGATCTGTCGGGGAACCAGCTTACCGCGGCATTCGGAGCAGTGACAGTGCCGCAAGTCGGGCTTAGAAGTTTTGTTGAAGCCTCGCATGTTTGCTCTCTAGATCCAGCAAGCAAGAAGATTAGGTGTACAGAATCAGAGTCTTCATCGGTGCTGAGATGCAGCGGCGTGCGGGTAGGAGGGAGAGGGCAAGTCGGGACTTAGAAAACTTTTGTATCACTTTCTGAACTCAGACGACAAGTTATGTATTGGATTGGTGTAAATACAGGAGGTATACACGATGCAGGCTAGTCAAGCAAGTTATCCGAAGCGGCTACCGCAGTTGATCAGTCCTAGGCAGATGTAGGCAGAGCTAGTCGTGCTTGAAGCTAAATGAGCTTGACGCGTACGCGACTAGCTCACGTGATCAACCCTAATCCTAAAGCGACTACCTGAGGTAGCCGAGGCGTCCGTCTACATCTGAATTATGTCGCAAGGTCAGCCCTAGTCAGCGCTGGTCGCAACGTGACTATCTAGGTCTGCCGCGCAGTGCTTGTCTATAGCCATTATGCCTCTTCAGCCGGATATTCAACCTTCGGTACTACTGATAACCTTTGCATGAGTATACCATTCAGTTAGGACATTTTTACATTACTATAAAGTACACCCAGAGGTAAATCCCAAGGTAATAAGTTGTAAATGGTTGCGTGAAGGCCCGCCGACCGCTGGTGAAAGGCTTCAGCCACCGTCCGCTTAGTCAGCCTCGGGGATCTCGGCGACGACATTTGTGCCAGCCGTCCTATAGCGTTCTCCTCCTCTTGTTCGTTCTGTATCCGGTAATAAATTAAAAATAGATTTGTATTATATAACACTGCACGTGCGCCCTAGTAAAGGAGGAGCGAGAACGCTAAGGACGGATGGTTTAGGAGCCTGGCACTGACAGTGACTTAGTCCAACGCTTTGCCTCCGAGCGAGGGCCTTGTCAAGTTCAAGTAGTGAGGGCGAGATTCTTTATATTTATACTGCGAGCGGGGCGAAATAGGTAAATGGTGAACGAACTTCAAGGCTTTCCGGGAATTCCGGACGTTCTTCTTATGCAAGCTTGCGTTCTTCATTATCTCGAATGGAGCCGGTCCCATTGCCTTCCCTCCAAAGAGTACAGTCTCCTTCCGGCTACGGTATGCTGATTCAGTATTGAAATTCGACAAATTTCACCCAGCCTCTAACTGACCGATCTCCGTGAATCTCCCACTTCACCCTAGCTCACAGCTGCAGGCAACTTCATAGTATCGGAAGGTAATGCGGTTTTGCTTCGTCTCCGCATCCCGTCAAATTCACTTGTATAGGTGACCCCTCGATAGTATGGCGTCTCTTTGCCTATCCGAGGTGGTACCGTTGTCGCTTCGCCCAACTTGGGCTTGGGGGTTGGCTGCCACAGATATCTCCAGCGCGACGAAGGCGTGCGCATGAAGAGATCTCGTTGACATCCAACGTCAACGAAGTCATTTCCAGTGCCCGATATTAATCCCAGGTACGGCGGTGCTTCACTCAACGATCCACAGGGTCACGTTACGGCAACGCTAATCAGGTACGAATGCGACTTTGGGAAGGAAGCTAATGGAATATCAAGGGCTTCTCCATCTCCTCTGTACGTGATTCGTGAAAACGTACAACCAACGGGTTGTATACCTCACGATAAACTATTCACTTCGAGTTGCTGAGTCCCAGGACGCCGTTATGGGGCGCTCATGTGCTTCCTGTAAGTTCCGGCTCTGTTGACCAGGCGGTCCCGACGACTTGCCGACGATTCTCTCTCAATCCTTAATCTGGCCTTGATACTGCTTCAAATTAGCTTTGGATCACTCCCCGACAGGCTTGATCCCCCCAACAGCCGCATAAAGATGTCTCGCTGTGGCGCAAGACAGAAGTTCTAATCCTCTGGCACATCTCTTCCTGACATCCTAGCTTCGTCTCTGCGAATGGCGCCCATCTCATACGTTGACTAACTGCACCTCCGCGTTGGTTCGTGTGTTCTCTTCGAGTTCCTCTCGGTTCCGCCCAGATTTGGTTCACATTCCCCGGGCATCAAGCCCCTCACTCCTAAGTATAAGGGTAAATTTTTGGTCGTTGAGGTAGGTGATCGTCGTTGTCCGTAACGATGCCCTTGCGGACCCGATATTGTGCTAGTGTATGATTCCAGGAACCCACCTGGACCCACATAGCAAGCGCGCTATCTCTCACCGCTGTCGTCCCAACCCCCACGCAAACAGAGGAGCAAACAGGGAACACGACGCCAGATATAGAACCACACTTGGCTGGGGTGCTCGCACAGCAAGGTGTGGATCTGTCGACGGCAACCAAGTGTGTATGTATGGATCCAACGCAAGGACTATCATCTTCTTGAAGACGGACAAGTGCGTGTATCTGGCAGAACCACGCGGACCGGCCCCCTGTACTGCGTCTGCATTGTATGGACACCAGCTCCTCTATACTTAGACTGCCGTTCTCCATTCACCACGGCTATTCCGGTAACAACTTATACAAGTAACGAGAACAAGCTGCAGTCCCTCGACACGCAGCCAGAGACCGGCAGATTCCTTGACTGCATCCCATGGAGTAAATCCCAGAGACATGGCCGACGGATAAGATAACGGGCAGTTGATATGCCGGGTGGAGCGGGCAGGTGTTGTGGGGCGCTCCTGCTCGTACGGGGCCGATACAGTCCGAGATGCGAAGGATGCGGTGTGGAGGCTGTTTGTTTCACGGATAGCAGGTTCCTAGTAGGTCGCCTGCGAGCCGAAAGCATTGCTTACCCAGTGGATATACAAGGAGACGCACGACAGGGGTGGACTCACAGAGAAAAGCGAAATTGTGGTTCCAATGGTCGCCCGCCACCTCCTAAGTGAGCGGGTACATTTGATCTACTTATAAGTTTGGCAATTCAGTTGGTTCCATTAGATGGATCTCGTCGATCAAGTTTCCTCATACTCCTGGCCAACTGTACTGGATGAGAACCGATCGAAGGAGGAGCCTGCAATAGGGTCCGATAGCCGGGCTCATTAATGGCTCAAGGATGCGCAGCGATATGCACGTACACTCACTCCACTTGGACTATATCACGCAGACAGCCCTCGGAAACTTGCAGGAGACAGCGCTGTTGCGTCTCATGATCATGGTCAGCTAGTCCATACAGCGACTGTCTCCTGTAAGTTTGCAAGGTCCGCGCCGGCGAAGCGCGTTCTCTGAATCCTCCGATTCCCGAGCGGGGCCCAGTTTGCCTTAGTCCGACTGAATTGGATGGGCAACAGCGCGCGAAAATAGGCTCGCATCTGAGTTTGAGGCAGATAGACGTGTAATCTGGCAGTTGCGTGCCACGGGACCTGGTTATCCGCGACTGATAGGTTGATCGCCGTGGATCAGGCCGCTGTGAACGAACGGCAGAAGACGCGATTTGCTTTGAGAATCCGCATTTGTTTTGCTACTGTATGTGGAAGTTATAGTTGAGGCGCTGTGAGGCATGTAACTTGCCATGCGAACCTGAGCCTGCCTCTCGGAAGATCGTGGAACTGGCTCGAACGTGTACGAACCAGAACAATACAAAGCGAGAAATATCTTGACTCGGACGCTACGACATACGCTGCAGGCAGAGCTCGAGCGCGCGACCGACGCGTCAGTAGACTCAGGGCTGTTGGAGGCGTTTCGTCTGGCAGGGCTGGGCCTGAGGTGACGGTGAGGGGGCGCAGTGGAGTGCGTGACGCTGGGAGCGCTGGGAAGAGTGGAAACGCAGTCCAAAGATGAACCTCGGCATCACGGCAGACTTCCCAATATGGATTTTCGGATGTTACATCATGGAATTCCTCAGAAACCAAACCGATCATTGTTATATTATATACAGCATCCCCATGTGCCTCTTCTAGGCGGCCTCACCGACACCGTCAGCGACGACCAGCACGATTAGCACGACCGCGACTGTCGACAGCGTCCACAACCCTATCCGTGTTACTGCACTCACAGTCGATGCCGAGGGTGCCGTCAGTCCAGGTTTCCGTGTCTCCAGATGAGGATATTCCGTCTGTGTCCTCCGCCGTCGACGGCAGCGTGAACGGGGATGTTGTCGCTGGCCCGACGCCCGACCCCGAGTTAGACGACGTAATGCTCATACCCGGCGACGCAGTGGGACCGACAGGAACGGTGAGTTACACTCTTTCACTCTCAGAGGATAAAGGCTGACTGGCTGCAGCACTTGGACGATAACGTGCCGCCATCGTCTCGCGCGACGACCAGCCGACCACGGCGGCTGCCCAGTCTTTCCAACCTAGTCCTACATTCGCCCTCGTCCATCGTCGGCACGCCACTCGACCCCGCCGCACGCTTCGAGTACCCCTTCCCGCCATCGAGCGAGGGCTCCTCGCCCGAGCTCGAAAATATCTACTCGCCCTCCCTCGCATACAGCCCCTTTCTCTCCCCGGGTCCCTCGCGATTCCACCACGTCCCGGTGCCGGCCATCCCGCTCTTGACCCCGTCCTTCAGCACGCCGGTGTTCACGACGAACCCGCCCGCGCTCTCCCTCCCGCACTTCCACCTATCGTCGCTCCCTTCGCGCGCGCACAAGAAGAAGACCCACCCGCGGCTCTCGCCCATGCCCCGGGAGCCGCCCGTCCCGCCGCGACTCGCGCAGAAACGCGACCGCGCCGGACTGCGGATACAAAACGGGAAAGGGCCGGATCGCACGAAGGAGGAGGAGGATCTGCGCTCACGCAGCGTCGACGACGGCTCCAGCACGTCGGGCGACCTCACCCCGTCGCCGCAAAACGGCAGCAGTTCCGACTCGCTGCCAGGGGAGTACGACGACCAGCTCAGGCGGTATAGCTTCCCGAGCTGAATTCCCCTCCCCCACTGATTGTATCTATCATCCGCACGCCTCTTGTGTTTTCGGGTCCCTCCCCAGCACTCATCACGACTTCACGGCATTGTGTTCCTTGGTTCTTGGTTTTTTGGGTATTTGATTTCTCGGTCGGAATTGTGTCTCCATAGTCTCGCATCTTCGTTCGCATCGCATACACGCATTGGCATTATCTATCTATCGTCTGCATCAATCGCAATCCTGTCGTTTATACGTCCCACTCGTATTCTACCGCGCTCCATCACTTATTACCCTCCTTTCTAATTAAATAACGAAGTGAATATGAATATGTATGTACAACAGGGGTGTTTCTGGTTCACAATGCAATCTGCTTCACACACTTGGCCAGGGACATCAGATGTGCGATATCGATAGGCGTCTTCGTTCCTGCTGTGTGGTGTAATTCGGACTGAGTCTAATCCGAGGGTGCTCGGAGGCAAAAGCAAAGCTGAAATATTTCCGGCCTGAATTCACGTGTACGGACGCGTCGCGGGGTAATTATGTAAGTAACGCGTCTGTGGCGTCGGTAAATTAGGCGACTTCCATTGACCTAAGTACGAGCACAGTCGAACACCAAATCCTGTCCGTGATATGTAGACGCTATTGACCTGACGATTTTGACAACTACTGCGACGATGAGGAGCACCTATGGGCTCATTGACACGCTCGTGTCGGACGTACGGGCACCGAGTCCCGCCGACTGCAACACGACTCTGCATTGAGCCATTGACAGTGTTCGCGTACGTGCGAGAAGTCTACAGCCTACTTATAGGCTGCTTCATGTGAACTCGACGTCCATGCATCGTTATGAGCCGACCGGCCTATGAGCAGCTAACTGCCGCGACGCCGTGGCAAAATCAACATATGTGTGGCAAAGGAAGGGTACGAGTAAATGGCGGCCGGCAGGCAAATCCGAGACGAGGGGGTCTAGAGACAGCTGCGACTTGAAATACTAAGACGGGCAGAACACCATTTGGCCGCGCCCATTGGTCTGGTTGTGTCTTCCGAGCGCTGCCTGCTATGAGACATCGAGTCAACTTACATGAAGTCCTCTCTCGTACAATGTCACCGCTTCTCCCGGACCTGAAAAGGACCGTACCAAGTTCAGGAGGAGGGTCCCGGCGGACATGCGGCCCAAAGGCGGATGAATGGTTGCCCAGCCTTTGTGGCGCCCAGCAGCTCAGGATACTCGACTGGTACGAAGAAGCCGATGGCGAGAACCGCAGACTCTACCCGCAGAACTTCACCTGGAGCTGCTGCAAGCAAACCGGAAGGGAGGACGGGTGCGAGGAGGTAGAACACGAGGTTGGTAGTGGTGCTGGGAAACGTTCGAGGTGTTGTTGAGCTTTGATGGGCGTGAAGCCTTCCAGAGCGTATCATTGATTGAGCCAAAATTTGCTTATACAGGATCGTGCTGCTTGATACTGGTCGCCTAACGCGGCTGGAGAGGACGCGCGGGGTGACGCGTTGTCAATAGGACGGTGGTTATAAACGCGCATATGTCTGATGAATATTAATAGTAGGATTCACGATGCCCGCCTGAAATTGCACGCGAGCAAAAGGGCTTGTCACGTCTCGAAAGTAATCAATAATTAGCAGAGCCCGACGTACCGCGCAAATAAAGCATATGCTACGGTAGCTCGAAGTTCCCCAGCTTACATCGAGAACAGAACAGGAAAAAGCATTACGATTGTGGCCAAACCCTGTGATGTTGTGGCGTGCAATTTAAAGCGCGTGACCCCACACGAGCCCACACGTCACGCATCCCCTTCAAGTCCTTGCCACAAAATATCTCACTCAGCGATCCATCCTGTGCTGATCCTTTATCAAAGCAATTAATTTGGATAGTATAGTAACAACCACAAGGCGCACTAGATCCAAAAGATCGGACGAGGAAAGCGGGGTAGAGAGAATACCTACGTACTACGACCGAGTACAAAAAACAACCACATCTGATACTACATTTTCCTTCCTCCACAATCGATACAACGATGAGTACACACGATAGACAGAGCGAGCATAGCGATGACAACAACAAGAATATTCCGGTAAGGTCCATGGCCCTGCAACAAATACGCAATTGTACACCCTGAGGCAGGGCGAGGTGAAGGGTTTCGCGAACGAAGGCGAACGAGATAAAGGTTTCCATATGATGTCGATGTCGGAAGGTGGCGAGCGATCCATGATGTTTGTATGGATCGCACTTGATTGATGTAGATGGATGCGCCCTCATCGTCCAATAACTTACTTCTTCAATGTCTTCGATTTCTTCTTCATCTTTCGTTCATCATTGATTCATCGCCCCAGCGCCTACAATCCACAGTCCACCATCTCCCAATCCTCGCCCGGCGGCTCCGTCTTCATCACCACATCCCCATCGCCGTCCCTCTCGCCGACCATCCGCTCTAGCTCCCGCGTCGCCGACAATATCGACACTGCCAGGCGCGGGCCCATCAGCAGGATCTTCTGCCCCTCGGGCGAGCAACGCATACGCGTCATGATCGCCACGCGGTACAGGTCCGGCTCGCGCTTGCCACGAGGCAAGCGTCGCCGCGCGAGGTTATTCGATGGGTGAGGCGAAAGTGGCGAGGTCGTTCGGCTCTCGATCTTAACAGTCTGAGCAGGCTTCGGGACAGGGAGTCGCGAGGTAGGCATGGAGGATGTGTCGGGCGTGGTAGGGATAGGGGCAGAGCCGAAAGCGAGATTGTGCTCCGAGTAGGTGCGGCTCAGGCCTTTGCGGCGCTCGCGCTGTTCTTTGTAGAAGCGGAGGGTGCGGTTGTACGGCACGAGCGACGAGCAGTCTGGTTTATGCGTGCGCTGTGGTGCGGGTGCGCCGGTGGGGGCGAAAGGTGGCGGCTCGAAGCCGTCGCCGGTGTAGAGGGTGTCGTCCACAGGAGTATTCGGGAGGACCGCGAACGAAATCGTGCGGCGCAGGGGCCGAGTACCGCTGCTCGTCGTGCGAGGCACCTTATGTGGCCCAGGCTTGGGCGTGGAGAACGACGACGTCCGCTTGCGCACACCACCGGGGACTGGAAGCGACGAGGAGGGGGCGGCGACGGTGGTGGTGGTAACAGAGCAAGACATGGCCGTGCGAGGACCTGATGGTGTAGAAGAGAGCCCCGGGCAGATCTTTGTCTGTCCGTGGTCGGAACAAAAGGACAGCCCCGACCTCGAACCGCGTGGGAGCAGCGAGGAGCCGTGTGACGCAACATGTGCTAACGTAAGCAGAAGACTCACCAATCGCGAGGCGCTGCGCGCCCGCCACTTCCATTTCTGGCGTGACGTTTACCCGCCCGACGTAGCGGCTGTGCACCGACGTAGTCAGCGCGCAGCGCAGTGGTGCCCAAAGCGATGGCCGAGTAGCCGTATGTTCCCCCGGGTAGCAGGGAAAGGGGGAAGGAAGGCCCAGGGAACTTGATGTATCATTGCACATCACAGTTGTGATGTACCTAGCCAGCTGTGTTTTGATAGTTCCACCAGCGAGGGGATGGCCTGACCGGACAGCACCCGTGATTTCCCAGAATACACCGAGTCATCCTCGGACTCTGGGCGTGAAGAGTCGCTTGAGTGCGAGGATGACTCGGGGTGGTGGGAGGATCTGGGATGTACATCCCGTCTTCCATTCTACCTGCACGCAACGCATTCTACCATTGGCAGGTGCTCGGAGAGGCGGAGGAGAGTCGTTCTGAAGGGGAAGACGCTATAATCAGTCATCATTTGACGGGACAATGCCTCGTGTCAGAGGTGGGTCTATGCTCAATAAGATATGGCTTGGTACGCACCATCAAGCTAAGTCAAGGTTCAGATGGCGGGGAACATCATAAGGTGTTTCACAACCTTAACAAACAGTGCTGTGATCAAGATTCGTGCTTCCGCCGAAGAGGGGTATATCGAGAGAGGATAGCGGTGCCTACGGTCAATGCGAAGTATATGATCCTGCCAGGGTAGTCCCCGGTCGGGACCGGCCTGTCCTGAAGTCCCGACGTCCGACGCCTCAGTAGGGAAGGACGCCACGAACTGCATGTTGACCGTCGTTTCGGGACCGTGTTCAATGCCAATGGTGTCCATGAACAGCTATGCAATGATTCCACTTCCGTGACGGGCGGGGATACGGTGTCCGACACATGAATATCTATCGGCAGAACATAAGGATACGGATCACTGAGACGAGTATAAAGATAGACCACATACATAGACACACCCAGCGAATTCAATTCCGTCGTGTCGCACACCCAGGCTGCATTTGGAGGTACGCTGGATGACGAAGGATAACAGCTCACTCAAATCGGCGAGCTACGTCGGCCTATGCAGGACAAACATACAGTAAATCAGTACCAATGAAAATTAGTAGAGATGTCACTCTGCTGTAGCAGGAGCGAACGCGTTTCGGGGATAGGGAACGCGCACTCTAGGCAGCTCGACATGGTATTATCATTTCAACGTCCACATGGCCTCCTAAAGACTCGCCAATATCTTTGTACTCCCCCATCCGGCCTCATTTGAACTGCCACAATATGCCACCAGTGTAATAAACTTGAAAGTAAGGACTCACATGCATGTCCGTAGCCTCCGCCTCAAGCGGGGTATTGTTCTCGAATCTAAGCAGTACGAACGAGATTTATCGGTCGCGGCAGTCGCGGAGGAAACACGTATGTAGAGGGAGGAAAGAAAGGAGGAAATAAACCGCAATAATCCGGCGGTCTGTCAACGATAGGCGCCCGCCCTTTACCCTGCGATAAGCATGTCAAAGCTCAAGCTGACTGCTCAGGCCGATAACAGCCTGGCAGCGCTGCTAGTCCCGTTCTACTCTGATATAAGGATTTCTAGGAATAATGCACCTGCTGCCCCGTGAGGAAGCGAAGCTGCTGCTGCACCAGGTTTATTCTCAGCTTGTACAATTTCCATCTCAAGTCTGAAATACGGTCGGTGGAATAGGCAGGCTTCCTGGCCCAGAAGCGCCTGGCGCGAGGGCTGAAGCTTAACCAGACAGAGGCGACCGCGCTGATCGCGAGCCAGCTGCAAGAGCGCATCCGCGATGGCCAGCACTCGGTCGCGGAGCTGATGCAGCACGGGAAGACGCTCCTCGGACGGAGACATGTCCTGCCGTCGGTGCCCGGGCTGCTGCACGAGATCCAGGTCGAGGGGACGTTTCAGGACGGGTGGGTATGCTATACTACTGTGAACATGAACGGGTCCCCGGACGACTGAATGTGAAATGTGCGCAGAGTTTTCCTGGTGACGGTGCATGATCCCATTTGTACGGAGGACGGGGACCTTGCGGCCGCGCTCTACGGGTCATTCCTACCTGTCCCTCCGAATGAAAAGTTCCCCGTCGCAGACGAGTCCGAGTACGCGAAGGAGAAGGCCCCAGGAGCCGTCATCGTCAAGAAGGAACGGATCGTCATCAATAAAGGCCGTGAACGGGTCAAGCTGAAGGTCACTAATAACGGCGACAGGCCTATACAGGTTCGTCATTGACCACATGCCATTAATGCCGGGCAGACGCAAGTATATGTTTACAGATTGGCTCTCACTACCACTTCATCGAGACGAATGCGAGCCTCTCCTTCGACCGCGCCAAGGCGTACGGCAAGCGCTTGGACATCGCAGCGGGCACCGCGGTGCGCTTTGAGCCCGGCGACTCGAAGACCGTCACGCTCTGCGCCATCGCGGGCGCGCAGATCATCTCTGGGGGGAACCTCCTCGCGTCCGGGATAGTGGACGCTGACCGCACGGATGAAATTGTACGTAATCTGGTGCAGAAGGGGTTCGGGCATGTCCCGGAGCCGGGGGCGGCGGAGGTGCATGAGGACACGGATATTGGGCGGCAGGCGTATGTGGCGATGTACGGACCCACGGTGGGTGATAAAGTGCGTCTTGGGGACACGGCGCTGTGGATCGAGGTGGAGAGGGACGAGGTGAGCCCGGTGTTTACGTTACGAGAGGCTTAGGCTAACCCAGAATGAAGACGGTCTACGGAGACGAAGTCAAGTTCGGCGGAGGTGAGGGCATCTGTATTAGCCATGTCGCCAGTTTGACGTCTCCGCGTCGCTAGGGAAGTCGATTCGTGAGGGTATGGGACAGGCGACCAACCGCCCTGCATCGGAGTGTCTCGACCTAGTGATCACCAACGCCCTCATCGTAGACTGGTCTGGCATATACAAGGTATACCTTTAGTGTATCCATCGTGGCCTCACTTATCGTCACTACTACAGGCAGACATCGGCGTCAAAGACGGAGTCATCACGGGCATCGGAAAAGCCGGGAACCCCGACGTGATGGCGCACGTGCACCCCGCACTGACCATCGGATCCTCCACGGAGGTCATCGCGGGCGAGAAACTGATCCTCACCGCGGGCGCGGTGGACGCGCACGTGCACTACATCTGCCCGCAGCAGGTGTACGAGGCGCTCGCGGCGGGCACGACGACGATGATCGGGGGCGGCACGGGCCCGAGCGCGGGGACGAATGCGACGACGTGCACGCCGAGCCCGTTCTACATGCGCCACATGCTCGCGGCAACGGACGGGCTGCCGATGAATTTCGCGTTCACGGGCAAGGGGAACGATGCCGGCCCCCAGGCCTTGGAGGATATCGTCAGAGCGGGCGCGGCGGGCTTAAAGTTGCATGAGGACTGGGGATCGACCCCAGCTGCTACCATGAATTGCTTGGATGTGGGGGATAAATACGATGTTCAGGTGAGCATCTCTCTAACCAGCGTGTGAGTGTAACCGTAACCGGCATCAAGGTGAACATACACACCGATACCCTGAACGAGAGCGGGTTCGTTGAAAGTAAGTCTCCCAGGTCGCTGCATGGTCAGAGGTATTGAAGGCGTCCCAGGCACGATTGCTGCTTTCGGCAACCGTACAATTCATACCTACCACACGGAGGGTGCTGGTATGTGCGATTTGGTGGTGTAGTAATCTCTTGGCTGATTTCTAACCAGGTGGGGGACATGCGCCGGATATTATCGTCGTCTGTGGCCAAGAAAACGTCCTACCGTCATCCACGAACCCAACCCGTCCGTACACGAACAATACTCTGGACGAGCATCTGGACGTATGTACCATGCAAGGAACTATTTATCTCGACGCTAATTGAATGGCGTAGATGCTGATGGTTTGCCATCATCTTGATAAGTCGATTCCTGAGGATTTAGCCTTTGCAGAGTCTCGTATCCGCGGCGAGACTGTGGCGGCGGAAGACGTTCTGCAGGACATGGGCGCAATATCGATGATCAGCTCCGACTCTCAGGCAATGGGCCGTGTCGGAGAGGTAGTCAGCAGGACATGGAGGACCGCGAGTAAGATGCGAGAGTTCAGGGGCCCACTCGCGTCCCTGGGCGACAGCGAAGGTAGGGACAATGCTCGAGTCAAGAGGTATATTGCCAAGTACACCATCAATCCGTAAGTCGCTATTGTCCGACCATTTAGTTTCCCTCATCATATGCTTCGTAGTGCCATAACACACGGTATAAGCCATCTGATTGGCCATGTTGCCGTTGGCACACTTGCGGATCTCGTTCTGTGGAAGCCTGAGAACTTCGGGGCCAAACCCGAGATGATCCTCAAGTCCGGAGTGATAGCATGGTCTCAGGTAAGTCACGGACTGGCACGAGATCAGCGCGTCCTGACGAGTAGGTACCTAGATGGGCGATGCCAACGCCTCGATTCCCACTGTCCAGCCATTCTATTCCAAGCCGATGTGGGGTTCCTACCCTGCATCTGCCGCACTGAACTCTGTCGCTTTCGTGTCGGAGATTTCTCTGACGTCAGGTGTCATCAAGTCATACGGCCTTTCTAAACGCTTCGAAGCAGTCAAGAATTGCAGGAACGTGAAGAAGGGAGATATGAAGTGGAATGACGCAGTCCCGAAGATGTCCGTGGACCCCGAGAGTTATGAAGTGCGAGCGGATGGAGAATTAGCGGATGTCGCGCCAGCCGAGCGGCTACCCCTAGCACGAACGTATAATCTGTTCTAGGGTGCATCACGCTTTGGGTTCTGCGGGTCCTTCCTGTTGTACGATATACTTGTGGGGTGAATATCGGGTGAAGGTTCGTGTACAATACGGGTATCGTTGTATGGCAAATTTTAAGGGGTCTGACGATCCCAATGGCGATCCATTAAGCAAGCAGACATTTGAGGAACGAGTGTCTGAAATTCTACGTGTCTAGGTGGCTTCTGCCCGATAAATACAATAGATAAGGAGTGTGTCATGAGAACCTAGCTAGACATAAATAGGGATACAATGGGCGACTGCTCAGAGACAATCGTACAATGGCGTCGATAAGTTACATGCGGGAACGTAGCAGTCGTGAAAACCACATAAATACGGACTTCAAGAGAGCAGAAATACATGCCTAGCCTGCACGACCAGAGAGCGAGACTCCTGCACAGCGGACCACATCAGAATTGGTCGTCGCGGCTACGGACTTGCTCCCTGGGGCTGAGCATCCGCACGGCACCCCCGATGGTGAGGACGCTATCATGGCACGTCTTCATCGGGTTCCTGTCTTGAACGACGACGGTGACGCCTCCGTCAGACTCGTCGCAGTCTGGGGCGACGGTGAGGTACAACGCCCTGTCGTCCTCGGCTGTTTCTCTCCTGAAGGCTGGGATAGACGAAGGCGCACTGTACGGGTGGGGGATCCTAGGGTACATTGAGAACTCTTCTGGGTGGTCCGCTATGGACGTTTTGCTTTTTGGTGACTGAGCGAAACGTCCATCGCGGGCTTCACCGTCGAACTCGAAGCCGTCCCTAAATGGAGAGGGTATATAAATACTCTATTAGTAGAACTACGACAGAGAGATTACGTACGGAGGATTCGAGTCGTACATGTCCCAATCCCAGTCTTCGTCCCGGCCGGTAGTCGGCGATACGTTCTTGGGCACTGACGGTGAGTGACCTAGCTTTGACAAGAACCGAAGAGGAGAAGTAGGCTAGTAGCAAATGCATCTAGTACCGACAGAAAATAGACAACAACACCAGTACTTACCCGTTGCACCTGGCCTGCCCACTGCTCACGCTTCGTTTTGGGTAACGTGTTCTGATGCTTCAGCTTCGGACGATCCTCATCGACGTCTATCACCCCTCTCCGCGTCTTTGATGTCTCCTTGAGGGACGAAGAGCGGTGCGGGATGTTGTCTGGCAGAGGTGGCAGAGGCTTTTCGACGCGTGATGAGGGTGGCATGATGAACGATAACAAAGCAGTGAAGCAAGTGATTGTGAAAGAGTGTTGTGACGTCCGAGATGACTAGTACGATGAAGAAATAAAGGAAGATAAGATGTCAATAAGAAATTGACGAGGAAAGGCAGCAGTCGGGGTATTGTAGGTGCAATGCCACAGAGTTTGGGTCGCCGAGGGAGTCGTTGTTGAGTGGAGATTGATGGATAGTTTTGGTGGCAGATACACGGTTTTTAAATGAACTGTGGCCCGATGTGCGCTTGCGTGCCACAGACTGTGGCACCACGCTTGACAGTCAACGGACGCGCCCAGTCACGTGAGTGGCACCAATGTCAACTCGTCAGACTTGCCGCGCTTGAAAGTTTGCTGGACGGAAGAGCAGTTTCGCTATTGCACGGGGCATATCTTGGATATTCGTGCTGCAGGGAAGTCAGCAGCGGCATCTCTACAGCAGCCGAAGGACCTAACTGGGTACAAGGACACCTCACCGGCGAAGCCCGAACTCCCCTATGGTATTGGCCTGATCAACTTAACGAAAGGCCACGGTGATCGTCAATAACATTGCGCTTTCGGGATGATGCAGTTAAGTATGCTGGGCAAGTCAATAGGAACCTCAAGGACGTAACCGTTCGGGCAATGCCTGAATCAAACAGCAACGTACCCCTGCGTAATCCTTCAAGACGTTCGCAAATCAACCATCTACCGGAAGGTCTGAAATGCTGACTACTTGCGCAGGTAAGCTTGTCCCAGTATGCGGCATGTTTAGTGAGCAATGGTAACGCAGTAAGACGACCTTACTGGAAGGGTCGCGCGTCATGACCACGGCGTTCTGCAAGTCTAAGAGATTCTTGGTCCCCATCTAGATGCGAAGCGTCCCTACATCAGAGAAAGAGGCCAAATCACATGCAGGATATATGAGTACAGTGAAGTGCCGCTCGTCTGTATAGCGAATCCGATTCCTACGCGAACTCTGCGGAAAAGTACAGTACTGTCAAGCAACTGTCAAGTACTGTAACATGTGCTGATAGCTTCCGGCCATTCACGTGAGTCGACGCGTCTCGATTAAGGACGAATTCGAACGCTGAACGCCTAAAGAAATGCGTGCCTGTTTCTCCCTGCGATCTCTAGTTAACGAGTAGCTGCTCAGTAGCACAACAGACGACACTCGCTAGGACAGTAAGGCTACAGATCGTAATGTCATTACCAGTCGTGTCTGTGTATTATCTAGTACAACAGGAAAAGTAAAATCCACAAATCTATCTCGGTAAGACCCGAACTGAACATCAAATGAAAATAGGAGCTGTGTCCCTGCCCATCTAGCTCGCCCAAACCTGCTTGGGCAACAGAAGCGCCACGCAAATCGAGACAAACGCGAGCACCTCCAGGACGTAGTACACGAGATGCCCACCGAGGTAATGCCGCGCAGGGTCTATCGAGAGTGCGAAGAGCGAGTTGGCGCCGGCGGGGCCGATGGCACGCATTACGGAGACGGTCATCTGGCAGAGGCCGTTCGTGGCGCCAATGGATGCCTTGTTCGGGGAGGATGCAGTGATGTAGATAAAGATACAACCTGTCTCGAGAGTCAGCGCCAATTCGACTGGCTGCCAAAGAAAGACATACCGTATGATAGACTTGTGAGGATTGATATGATAACTTGGCCCGCGACGAGAGCCCAGACGAGCAGGCTGAGCCCTTCGGCCCTGGCCACCCAGTTAATGAAAGGGAACATGGCGAACACCGGCATCGTAGCCGCCAAGCCGACAATGAACACGTTCTTCGTCCCGAACCTGTCGTGGATCTTGGCGAAGAAGAATATCTGGAAGATACCGTTCAGGATACCAAACCCAGACAATACGACCCCGATGAAGTGGGGAGGGAGCCCCAAACCGCCGAGTTCGATGGGCGTGGACAGGAACAACGGGTGCACGGCACGCAGCGCTATGTCGACGATGGCGAGGAAGGCGTAGTTGGCGGCAGATACGAGGACGCGCGGGGTCATGAGCTCGTGCAGCGGCAACGGCTCCTCCTTTTCCTCCGCGAGCTTACCCTTCGTAGGTACAGATTGTTGCGTCGGCTGCCTCTGTATGCCGGTGACATTTTGGTAGGTGAGGTTCTCTTTGCTTTCCCGCAGCCTGAACATACGACCTATGGATTTCGGAGATTTCACGGTCTAAGTCCCGATCACGATCAGTAAGAACGTCGAGCACCGAGACAAAGACGCCGACGCACCTCCTGGAGGAAGAAGAAGGTTACTAGCCATGCGATGACCGTGAACGTCGCCGGGACGGCACACGGGAGAAAATAAGGATACTTTATCAGAAATTCGTTATGCCCAAAGATATTAGGGAATCGTTCAGCGGGTCGTGAAAGCATGCCACCGATGATGGGACCCAATGTCCCCCCAGTGGACCACGCGATAGGCATATAAGCGTATGCTCGGGCGATGTTCGTAGAGTCTGTGAGCTCAGCCATCATGCTCTTGATGACACCAATGTTGCCGTTCAGGGCTCCATTCAGGCAGCGACTACGAGATTGTCAATAATGGGCGACCTAAAGCTGCCTGCGTGCCCACCTCAGTACTAAGCCCCAGAATGTCCGAGAGAGGCCGAAACAGTACATGGATATTGAGAGGCCGGCGAGGCCAGTTAAGATGACCGGCTTTCGCCCTACGTGGTCGGATATACGACTCCAGTGTAGGACAGTCAATGCCTGCGTTGCGAAGAATAGAGATTGCTGCAGGGCATAATATGAGCGGCGTACAGACTCCATAGACGCGATCACGTACCAACATCCCGACATAGTGCCCGACTTTCGTCTCGTCGCCGTGGGTTATCCCGACATTCCGAATGAGCTGGATGAAACATTGAGCTGGAAAAATTGCAGGACCTACGCTTGTCACTCACGTCAGGAGTGAACGGGTAGATGACCTGAGACGTCAAAGGCTCTGCTAGCTGCAGGAACAACACTATAGAAAACTGAGCCCATGGTATCGGGGTCTGCTTCTTCTTACGCTGCTCATGGGCGAGCAGCGGTGTCTCCTCATCAGCGTTCCGCGGCGACATGATATCGTACAGACAGCTCGGGCAAGCAAACAGAAGACAGAAACGACGACTGGCCGAACATTTCGAGGTGGCGACAGATTTATAAAGGAGCTCGACACCGCAGATCGGTTCGGATTTGCCGATGGGTGTGCCGGCATCCTGACTCGGAGTCACGAGCACTTTACCTCATCTTCCGCTAGGGTTTCCTTCTTGTTCTACTGTATGTACTTCTAGCTCTTCGACGAGCAGTGCCAATGATGGGCAACGGGGAAGCGACGATTCCACCGTGGTAGTCTGCACCTGCAGCACAAAGGGCTCGGTTCATACAGCTAATTGTAACACAATCGTCGAGGTTCAGTGACGGAGATGCTAATATTGACATTCATAGGAGATCAGAATCTAATAGATCTTTAACTCCGAAGGAACCAACAAATAACGGAAATAGACAATCAGAAACTCGTGATACTGCATTAGCACTTGAGTGTGACTCTTCAAGAAAGGCATCCTCCATCCTCCGCAGTGGCGCAGTGCACATCGCTTTACAGACGAACGAATGATGCTTTATATCACCTGCAACTGAGATTTGCTCTCTTTTTTGAACGACTCTGTGCGGCTGGGTGGTGTCGGACACGTTCCTGCGACGACCGGAGACACAGGAGGCGCTTCCCAGAAGTCGGTCCCACTGCGTTAACGTTGTCATTGTTCGACCGTCTTAAAGTATTATCTACTATTAACACGCGTGTTGCTGCGGGGTAAGTTAGGTAAGTCGATTTTTGATACGGACATGCCCCAGACGGCTAATATCTCAGAGGCTCGTTTTCACGTCCGGCAAACACGGTCAGCTATGGCTTTCGTTCGGTTGATGGTCAGTTTGGTGAGAAGGATAAGTCCTCGGTGCGTGATCTACTTGTTGACAATACTAAGAACACTACCGTTCAGTAGGAAGCACCCTGGCCAGTTAGCTGTAATAGCATGACGTCCCGACGAGTGGATCAGACACTCTCGAGATAATGTCTAGGACACTTGCGGCGAGTGTCTTTGACACTTGGCGCGGAAGGGTGCCTAATGCAATTGCGACGAGCGTATCTCGCACTGAGCGAACGAAGGGGCGGCTAAGACACTTGCCGCGAGTGTCTTCGACACTTTGCTGAAGAGTGGCTGAGACACTGGTGATGAGTGTCTTCGGCACTTAACGAAAACTGGTTAACGCTGTTGGAAGTGGTGTGTAAGGCACTTAGCGGAGAGGTGTCCAAGGCACTTCGGACGAATGTCTTTGACGCTCGTCACGAGTGCCTTTGGCATTTGCATCGAAGTGCCTTTATGACAAGTACTTCTCGCAGTATTGTTTCTGGTCTGGACTTATGGTGTTCTATTCTCGACGCAAAGCAGCCTTGAAGGCATCCTGCGCCACTTCGAACTCTTCTAACTCAGTGGCGATTTGTGGAGGATTGGCTCTCTCTCTTCAGCCTCCATCCCTCCACCAGGCTTCCCGACGTCTGTATCGAGCAGCTCTACTACGCTTTCCCTCTCGTGATTTAGAACGAGGATCCAGGCTCGTACACATTCTGTGGATACACACAAAACGCGCAATGGGATTGTCAGGGCCGTTTATCGGACATCTATGAATACGAGCTCCGGCGCCAGCTAGTACAAGCTGAGTTACCGTATTGCATTGTCCTCCGTCTGATTCCTCTTCCGCCGCTAGCCCTGGTGGGTCCGTCTCAACTCCGAATATGGACGAACCGCCTCTCGAAGCTGATGCTCGTTCTCCGTGTTCACGAGACACGGTGAAGTTTTAAGGTATTACCATGGGACGCTTCACGCGCTCTTCATCCCGCAAACCCCTATGCTGTCCACAAAGCCAGGAAGTTTTCGTTCCATCAGGTGCTGCGAGTGAAATGAAGGCTGATCTCTGTTGCTGTATCACGAGCGAGCGCCGTCGTTTACGTCTGTGCCAAAAGTCATGATCCCCCGCCTCTGTGGCTTCTAGTCCGCTGATGCGTGTCGATAGACTACCAGGTGCCTTTCATTTGCCGTTGACGATCACTCGTATTGGGCTGTCTATGAACTTCCGCGCGTCATACGACTAGACCTACCTAGCCATCTCCCCCGGAGCCAATACATACCGTTGAATTCACGTCCATCGCAGTTTCCCCGCATCCTTTACGTCGTCGCTTCGCCCGCAGCGATTATCTGCGCGCATCCATGACAGCAGACCCTGCCATCGATGGGGAATTACCACATTACCTACCTTCGAGTGCCTTTTGCTCTCTCCCACCTTATGTTTCTGCGCCTCCAAGGATTCCCCGCGTGTCCGTTGACTTGAAGGAAACCCGAAGCCCGAATTAGAAGCGCGCGATGCCGACGTCATTATGTACTCGGTTTATCTCCCGAAGACTGAAGTTTATCGCTCGCGCCGCGGATATAGGGGCGCGCTCGAGGAGATGATAAGAGCTGCAGCGCTCCCTGCGGCCTCCCTTCTGTACCATATATCTTGTTTTCTTTGCTGTTATGACTGGAAACCGGACTGAGTCGTCGGGCGAGACGACGCCGCTGCTGGGCTCGCCCGTCGAGTCCCAGGCGAACAAAACTGGCCATGCTCGACGGCGGAGGCGGCAGGCGAGGCCCCTGCCGAAGCTGCAGATTGGGCTCTTGCTGCTGATGCAGCTGGCAGAGCCTATAACGTCGCAGTGCATTTTGCCGTTCATCAACGAGGTCAGCGAAATGCATGATCGTGGCTAGTTCAAGTTTCACGCTTATCGGTCGGTATGTAGTTGATCGGCTCCTTGCCCATCGTCCACGGGGACAAGGGAAAGATTGGATACTATGCCGGTACGATCGTGAGTCGTCATGTCTTGTTGTAGAGCATAGACCGCTGACTGCGCGACTCAGCAATCCTTGTTCTTCGCTACCGAGGCCATCACTGTCCTCCAGTGGAGCCGCCTCTCAGACCGTATCGGCCGTAAACCCGTCCTCCTGACTGGACTGTTCGGTCTGTGTATATCCATGATTGCATTCGGTCTCTCCAAAACTTTTACCGCGATCGTCATCAGGTGGGTTCTTCGTCCATCCTAACTGTGTTAGGACTGACGGAGGCACATAGTCGATGCCTCGCCGGAATGCTCAACGGGAACATCGGCGTGATGAAGAGCATGATGGGCGACTTGACAGATTCCAGCAACGTAGCCAGGGCGTTTGCTTGGATGCCTGTCGTGTGGTCCGTGGGCGTCACCGTTGGGTACGTTCTACCCAGTTTGTTCCATTCGTTCTCGCCCGGCTGACCGCTTCCCAGTCCGTTCTTAGGAGGAACGCTCTCGCGGCCGGCGGACCGCTTCCCCAAAATTTTCAAGAGTCCGTTCTGGCAGGAATACCCGTACTTCCTACCATGTCTCGCCTCTGCGTCCTTTTCCGCTTTCTGCTTCCTTTTAGCACTTGTCTTGCTAAAAGAGGTGCGTCCCTCCTCCCTCCCCCCAGATCATGTTATTCAATCCATAGTAACAGACCATCCACCCCCGGCGCCCCAAACTCCCGCGGAGCAGCTCCGTCTCAAGCTACGCCTCCACCGACTCGGAATCCGATCCCTTCCTCCACAGCCCCGCCTCCGAATCCGGCACCGCAACCCCCACCTCCACAAAAAAGGAAGATGATGATGATGCAGACGCGCCCCCGCCAATGCGCGCACTCCTCGTCTACCCGATCCTCATCTCCATCGCGAACTACTGTGCGCTGTCCCTGCTCGACATCGCCCTGTGGGCACTCCTCCCGCTCTTCTACGCGACCCCGCTCGAGCTCGGCGGGCTTGCCCTCGGGCCGGCGACGATCGGGAGCGCGATGGGCGTCTTTGGGCTCGCGAATGGGCTGATCCAGGGGTGTTTCTTCTCGAGATTGGTGGATCGGTTCGGCCCGAAGAAGATATTCATGAACGGGATGGCGAGCTTTGTAGTTATATTTGGGATGTTCCCCGTGATAAATGCCGCGGCGCGCGAGGCGGGGGGCGTCACGCCGTGGGTGTGGATGCTGATGGTGTGCCAGCTGGTCGTGTGCGTGTTAATGGACATGTGCTTCGGTTAGTCGTCTCGTCTTCTTCACTTCTCACTCGCTCATCCCGATGTCATTGCAGGCTGCGTGTTCATCTACATCAACTCGTCCGCGCCGTCGAAGCGCTCGCTGGGCGCGACGAACGGGATGGCGCAGACGACCGTGTCCATCATCCGCGCGATCGGGCCGGCGATGGCGACGTCCCTGTTCGCGGTGACGGTGGAGAAGAAGCTGCTGGGAGGGTACTTGGTGTATGTGTTCTTTGCGGCGATGACGTGCATCTGTTTGGGCATTGCGAGTCGGTTGCCGGAGGATGCGTGGGATGCGGATGAGGTGGGGGACGAGCAGGGGTCGTGAGGGAGCGTGGATCAGACAAGTAGATTGATTGCTACACACTGGCGTCTCAGAAAAGGGACGATGGATCTATTGGTGATATAGTGGGGTTGCTTTAGATGTAACGCGAGTAACGATGTGTAATGCCAAATACAAACAGGATCCGTATGTCTTGACGATGAGGCTACAAATAATGACTTTGCAATCATACGCGACAGGTGTAATAGCAGCCGTACCACATAGGCAGATGAAGATGTACCGTTCACAAACGCACTTTCCATATCCACGCCGGACACTACGCTTTGGGTACGTACGAAGCCCCAGCCCTAGTAAACGCGCGATGGGCACTAACATGTCTGCACTTCAGTCTTGGACTACGCAGTCCTCATGACTCAATGCAATGCATCAGCAAATTGTCCCGCGGCTGGTAGTGGCTGGCGCATATTCCAGTCATTTTAGCACGTCTACAATCACATTACCAGCCGAATACCAGACTTGGGAAGTATTCGGCGCTGCGCGGCACGCCAGGTCCGATTCCTCGTAAGGTAAACGAGTGGCAAGGGTTCCACAAGTAGGTAAATAGGTAAATAGTCTTTCTAGCCTCCCGGGCGCTGCGCGGCATCAAGAATACTCCTAGTTCTTATATGTTGATCTCAGTAATACTAAATCATATAAGTTTGTAACTGAACTCTCAAACATAACTGTGTGTGGCTAGAACCTTCAATCATCCTATACTCGGTGTTAAGTACAGTTATTTCAATACACAATACACTGTTTACTTCAGTACTACACTTGGGTAGCATTACTATCGAGTCAGTGCACATGCATACTGTAGCTGAGATGCACGTCGTCAGGCTGAGGCCTCAATGCTGCCAGTACTATGCCTCGTATGTAACTTACCAATCTTGTGCCGTAGGCAGCAGGGTACTTGCCATCGGCGCAATTCCACACACAGCCGGGGGATGCCTGACAGTGCCATTGGCCCGAGATCTTGAAAGGATCATGCCGTGCAGAGACCACACTACATATCTGGAATTAGTCCCTATTCACAAACGGTAATTATTGACATGAGAGGTAATAGCTCCTATTTACTGATGGTGGTAAGATTTGGATCGGTGGACCTTCCATTTAAGGAGGGTGCTCCCGTTACAGTTAAGGTAATCTGGGCTATAAGGGGTATACCCCCTGTTCAACGCTGGCAATTTTCGATCACCAGAGAGCCCTATACAACGACTGAACAGTAAACCGATTCTAGGGGAATCGGAACTTGTATTTATGATAAGCGAAGCGCCTGCTGAGATACACTTACCCGAGGATTCTCTTATCATTCTATATATATACCCTTAGCAACGAAGCAATCACCGGCGCCTGACTGATGCGCGTCGCCTCACGTGCTAAGTTCAACATGTCGGACTTTGAACTTGACTTAAAAGCGCGCCGCAGTTCGACTTCATCGCCAATCCCCTCTCTCCCTTGTATCACGACTACGTCCTCTCTACAGCTCTCACATGGCTAAGTCCTAACAGCGCGCCTACGTCGCCTCTTGTACCTCTCCGCGGGTAAGTTCTTTTTGTGAACCCGCTGCCTCTCGTCGAACTCCCCCTGAGTACCTTCCTACAGCGCGTGTACGGCGCGACCTAGATGAGGCCCTCATCGTGTCTCGACGCGTCTCTGTTGCAGGTAAGCCATTTCTCTGCATTACTGTGTGCACATATTAATAGAGGTTCTTAGATTGCTGGAGGAGTCTGGGTCTGGCTCACTAGGTGTGTCCCTCACATTTAGTGACTGAGCATTCTGATTTGTTTCGCAGGTTTGATTATGGTACTGCTGCTGGGTTCTATGCATACATGATGACTAGTGCATTAGGTATGTCCCTAACATCTCACCTGTTGATATACCCTGGTGTAGTTTGTTGTAGTGATATGGTTTGTTTTCTATTGATTAGGGTGGGGGTTGATTCCCGGATAGTATTGCATTGAGCATGTAGCCATAGCAAACCCTGTATTGTAGCTAGCCTGAGCAATCATATGTTGTACTGTGTTCAGCAGCCAATGTGTTGATTCTGTATTTCATTCTGGGATGTAGAATACCAAGCAAAACACAGCTGATAGTGTGATTATGGGTCAAAGGAAGCTGGCCTGAGCTTGCAATATGTGTAAGTCTGGTGCATATTGTACTTCTTGCGGGAGTCTTACAACATGTGCCATCTGAATATAATGGCTGGCCCAGCTGTCCACAAGTCTGGTACATATTGTAATACTGGTATTTATTTTAATTGATTATATGCGAATTATATTCAGACACCAGTTATGGGAAAATTTGCTGATGCATCCTCCCAATAAATTATGGGACGCATATCACGTGCGCTGCGCGGGCCGGTGATAACCGGCTTCTGCAAGGGTAGTTGGGTGACATATATGCATTGTTACATGTACTTCTGTTGAGTTTGTAGTGTAATGGTTGCGCGTTCGTCTCATGGAAGCAGAATTGTGATATATCGTGGGTTCGAACCTTATTAGTGCCTTTTGATCCTCCTTTCGGCTTGTGCTCGTGGTCTCCTGCTTTTAGATGCTGTTTCGATGCTCTGCCAGCTCAAACTCTAAATATTAATGTTGTCATCAGGTAATGCTTTCACCCGGAAATTCCATTGTCTAATGAGCATCCACTGCTATGTGGCGCACATTCAACCATTTGAAGTCTGAACCCTGGCACCAGCAAGGCACAAATATGAGCTTGCCTACTAAGTTTGCTTCATTAAAGCCTCTTTCCTGAGTGATGAAAGACCCTGCTCCCCTATTAGACTTTAAGTAGTGCATACTTGGAGTGGCA